TCATCATCGGTATAGCATCTCTAGTGTGAAAAGTTCTTGTTATCCAACCTGTCATTTTTCTTGCAGTTGTGACGGCTACTTTATTGTGTTCTTTAAAGGTAAGGTCTTCCGACATGAGTACACCCAGATCCTTTACATTGCCTTTTCGTTCTATGTTATGATTTGCCTGAGTTTTGTACGTGGTTTCCGTTTTTATATTTTAATTTTTTCCATAGCGCATGAGCTGGAACTTATCTTCGTTAAACACCATATTATTTTCTGTAGCCCATAGAAAGACCTGATCTGTTTCTCTTTCTCTTTCTGTCTCTCTTTTTGTCTCTCTTTCTCTTTCTGTCTCTTTCTCTTTCTTTCTCTTTCTTTCTCTTTTCTCTTCACGCCGATTGGCGTGAAGTCACCAGTGGAGTCCCACAGGGCTCTATACTCGGTCCTATCTTGTTTCTGATATATGTAAATGATCTCCCGGAGGGTATCGATTCATTTCTCTCAATGTTTGCGGACGATGCTAAAATTATGAGAAGAATTAAAACAGAAGAGGACTGTTTGAGGCTTCAAGAAGACCTAGACAAGCTGAAGGAATGGTCGAACAAATGGTTGTTTGAGTTTAACCCAACCAAATGTAATGTAATGAAGATAGGTGTAGGGAGCAGGAGGCCAGATACAAGGTAACATCTGGGAGGGGAAATTCTTCAGGAGTCAGAGAAGGAAAAAGACTTGGGGTTGATATCACGCCAGACCTGTCTCCTGCAGCACCTATCAAGTGGATAACATCAGCGGCATATGCCAGGCTGGCCAACATACGAACGACATTCAGAAACTTGTGTAAAGAATCATTCAGAACTTTGTATACCACATATGGCAGGCCAATCCTGGAGTATGCAGCCCCAGCATGGAGTCCATATCTAGTCAAGGATAAGACTAAACTGGAAAAGGTTCAAAGGTTTGCCACCAGACTAGTACCCGAGCTGAGAGGTGTGAGCTACGAGGAGAGACTACGGGAATTTAACCTCACTTCGCTGGAAGACAGAAGAGTTAGGGGGGACACGATTACCACATTCAAGATTCTGAAGGGAATTGATAGGGTAGATTAAGACAGTCTATTTAACACAAGGGGAACACGCACAAGGGGACACAGGTGGAAACTGAGTGCCCAAATGAGCCACAGAGACATTAGAAAGAACTTTTTTAGTGTCAGAGTGGTTGACAGATGGAATGTATTAGGCAGAGATGTGGTGGAGGCTGACTCCATACACAGTTTCAAATGTTGATATGACAGAGCCCAGTAGGCTCAGGAATCTGTACACCAGTTGATTGACAGTTGAGAGGCGGGACCAAAGAGCCAAAACTCAACCCCCGCAAGCACAAATAGGTGAGTACACACACACATTCCCAGGAAGCAGCCCCAAGCAGCTGTCTAACCCCCAGGTATCTATTTACTGCTAGGTGAACAGCTGCATCAGGATGAAAGAAACTCTGCCCATTTGTTTCTGCCTCTCTGGAAATTGAAGCCGGGTCAATGCGTCGTCGAACGCAATGCATTTGAATACAATTATTTTTGGGTAAGTAAATATGTCCAGTTTGATACCAGTTTGAAAAAAATAATTACTTTACCTAAACAAATCATTCCCGGACTCGTCTGGGGAAGGTGATGTGTTTCTTGACCCTTTCATATGTGGGTCATTGTTTACCTTGCTGTGTTGTTGTTGTTGTTGTTGATGGTGGTGCTGTTGTTTTCCCTTAATATCCTATATATGTGTGGACTTTATTGGAATAGTTTTTAGTTAAGTTCTCCATAAATATTTACTTCTGAATCATTCTTTTAGCAATTTATGGATTATTTATATTTATAAATATCTTCATTACATAAATTTTAGTGGAGTTTTTTACTTATTTTAATATAACATAAGAAAATATAATGTGAATCCAAGGATGGAATATTTAATGTGGACAAACTGTGTTTGATGGCGACCAATTGTTTACCTTGACAACGGCTGGTTGCTATGGTGGGCGCTCCACCAACATGGTGAGTGTTGCAAACGTTGCACATTTTCACTTTTGTTGTTGCTTGGCACTTGTAAATATCCGTCTGTCCCTGACACGTACACACACATACATACATATGTTACTTAATGTCTACTGTGGTCAGTGGCACGTTATCAGGTCTCTCCAAGACGCTTGTAACCGTATTCATCAGGGAAGAGTGATGAGTGCCACTGACCAGTGACTGCCACTTGATAATAATATGAATTAATGTGTTGTTGCTGGGGTGAGCTGCTTGATGTAGTCTAGAGAGCATGACATGAGTAAAACAACTGTTCCTTGAGAGTTTATCCTTGAAATGTGCGCAGGTATAAACCCCTGACTTAAGCGCGTCTTTACCCTCCAGTTCTCGTATTGATTTTATTTTACTGGAACCTGTCGTCTGTGACTTCTGCTCGAATTACAAGGCCAGTTTGCTCATTGTTGCAGCCCTAATGAAGGCATTTGGTGTCTATATTCAACACAAAAATAACAGTCACACACAACAAACATAACTAACTGAAGCTAGTTTGAAATAATTAACAACAAATCGTGGTCAATAATACAGTCATAACATCGACCAATATGACTGAGACGTGATCAAGTTGTTATGTAACATTTATTAGCCAGTCGTGATCATGTCGTTCTGTAACACATGTTACTCAGAGGTGATCATGTCGTTCTGTAACGCATGTTACTCAGAGATGATCATGTTGTTCTGTAGCACATATTAGTCAGAGGAGTTCATGTTGTTCTGTAACACATATTAGTCAGAGGAGATCATGTTGTTCTGTAACACATATTAGTCAGAGGAGATCATGTTGTTCTGTAACACATATTAGTCAGAGGAGATCATGTTGTTCTGTAACACATGTTACTCAGAGGAGATCATGTTGTTCTGTAACACATGTTACTCAGAGGTGATCATGTTGTTCTATCTCACATGTTACTCAGAGGTGATCATGTTGTTCTGTAACACATATTAGGTAGTCAAAACAATGGAAACCCAGCAATTAGGGGGTGAGTTTTCCAGCATTAAATTAATTGAAATTAAGTTTAATAATAATAATAAATTCTGTGTGCAACTCTCTATAATATAAATATTTATCACTAGGTGTAGTTGAATTGTCATTTATTATTGTTATTTTTTTCAGCATTTATTGGAATATAAAAATAGTTTACTGTCATTTATATCATATTTTATAGGATTCTTTCATACAAGTTCGAATTTGTAGGTTTAAATAGACCGCAAAATTGAATTTCGATTCTCCTGACGGCCTCGTGGAAACCATTGTTTAGGTTCTGAACCAATGGTGACATTAAACTTGTTCAGGTGCTCGGGTGGGCCAAGGGGTCAAAAAGGTTGGGAAGCACTGAAGTAAGGGACCTTCTTCAGGACGTTCAATACCTTCAAGTTTCACCTTCTCCAGAACTACTTTGGTGTTGGGAGTCCTTCAGTGCTAGGGAGGCACTCTGAGGCGTCTCCTGATGGGCTCTCATCATTATTATTTCTTAGATTTGGGGTTTAATATAGTAAGAACTGGGGCTTGTATTCTGTGGTGATGGAATTTCATTAACGTGACAGTATTCAAAAGGGCCTTAGGTAAACAACGTTGTAAAGCAACAACGTCTATTAACAAAACTTACTGTGTAAGGCACAGGCAGCTCTCGTTTCCTTATGTCTGGTGTCGTCAACGGTAATATCGGATCTGAGAGACTTGGACGCCTAAATGACCAGCCACATGCAACGCAGACAATCTTAATACTTTGCGTAACTCATCACTAAGACAGCTTTCCTAGCACTGGCCAAGGTAAGTAAAACTCAGGAAACATTATTGACATGCACAATTAGGGATAATAATAACTTTCCAAGCTGACAGTCAACACAGATTGGCACATAAACTTAATGTGTTGTCACAGTGAATGTGTATGTTGTAACACACATTTTCTCTGACGGTGGAACAATTATTAACACGTGCAATCACTCGTTTACCTTCGGTCTCTCTTTAAACTGCAGCCTCCACTTGTGGTGGGTGGTCAGTGTAGTGAGTAAACCTGTGGGTGATCAGTGATCACTGCAATAATAGAAAATAAGCTGTAGAATAGTCTGAGTTTTGTATATACAGCTCATCCAGCCCCACACACTCACTCACCCTCATTTACACTTATCCAGCCCCACACACTCACCCACCCTCATTTACACTCATCCAGCCCCACACACTCACCCACCCTCATTTACACTTATCCGGCCCCACACACTCACCCACCCTCATTTACACTCATCCAGCCCCACACACTCACCCACCCTCATTTACACTCATCCAGCCCCACACACTCACTCACCCTCATTTACACTTATCCAGCCCCACACACTCACCCACCCTCATTTACACTCATCCAGCCCCACACACTCACCCACCCTCATTTACACTTATCCAGCCCCACACACTCACACATCCTCATTTACACTCATCCAGCCCCACACACTCACTCACCCTCATTTACACTTATCCAGCCCCACACACTCACCTACCCTCATTTACACTCATCCAGCCCCACACACTCACTCACCTTCATTTACACTTATCCAGCCCCACACACTCACCTACCCTCATTTACACTCATCCAGCCCCACACACTCACTCACCTTCATTTACACTTATCCAGCCCCACACACTCACCCACCCTCATTTACACTCATCCAGCCCCACACACTCACCCACCCTCATTTACACTTATCCAGCCCCACACACTCACACATCCTCATTTACACTTATCCAGCCCCACACACTCACACATCCTCATTTACACTCAGCTTGGTAGGTCAGAACGGCTGGGCTTCCTCTACATGAGCCACACGTGGTGTCTGGTAGACCAACACACATGTTCTATGAGCTGAGCACACACGCTGACAGGAACTGCACGTGTGAGGTATACACGGGGATGGTGGGCGGGCCACGTGGGAGTGTGACGTGTACACGGGGATGGTGGGCGGGCCACGTGGGGCGTGTGACGAGTACACGGGGATGGTGGGCGGGCCACGTGGGGCGTGTGACGTGTACACGGGGATGGTGGGCGGACCACGTGGGGCGTGTGACGTGTACACGGGGATGGTGGGCGGACCACGTGGGGCGTGTGACGAGTACACGGGGATGGTGGGCGGGCCACGTGGGGCGTGTGACGTGTACACGGGGATGGTGGGCGGGCCACGTGGGGCGTGTGACGTGTACACGGGGATGGTGGGCGGGCCACGTGGGGCGTGTGACGTGTACACGGGGATGGTGGGCGGGCCACGTGGGGCGTGTGACGTGTACACGGGGATGGTGGGCGGACCACGTGGGGCGTGTGACGAGTACACGGGGATGGTGGGCGGGCCACGTGGGGCGTGTGACGTGTACACGGGGATGGTGGGCGGACCACGTGGGGCGTGTGACGAGTACACGGGGATGGTGGGCGGGCCACGTGGGGCGTGTGACGTGTACACGGGGATGGTGGGCGGGCCACGTGGGGCGTGTGACGTGTACACGAAGATGGTGGGCGGGCCACGTGGGGCGTGTGACGTGTACACGAAGATGGTGGGCGGGCCACGTGGGGCGTGTGACGTGTACACGGGGATGGTGGGCGGGCCACGTGGGGCGTGTGACGTGTACACGGGGATGGTGGGCGGGCCACGTGGGGCGTGTGACGTGTACACGGGGATGGTGGGCGGGCCACGTGGTCAGCAATATCAGCGGGGTCGCAACACGGGATTGACGGGCAGCTGTGGCCGTATCACCCGGGGTTACACAGGTTCACACGTGGGTGGATGACGAGAGTGAGAAACACGTAGTAGCGGCTGTACACAAGGTTCTTTCTTCTTAACTTTGTCTTAAGATTCTCAATTACTGCACTACGGGTCTTCATTTGTCATTCACTTGACCCTTAATGTAACTGTAACTTACTGTAACTCTACCGATGACTATGATGAAAAGGTCACACTTCTTACAGTCCAGGGGCCAGATTCACGAAAGCACTTACGCAAGCACTTACGAACGTGTACATCTTTCCTCAATCTTTGACGGGTTTGATTACATTTATTAAACAGTTTAAAAGCATGAAAACTTGCCATTCAACTGTTGTTATTGTTATAAACAGCCTCCTGGTGCTTCGGAGCTCATTAACTGTTTAATAATTGTAAACAAAGCCACCAAAGATTGAGAAAAGATGTACAGGTTCGTAAGTGCTTGCGTAAGTGCTTTCGTGAATCTGGCCCCAGCCCTGACACGTCTGTATGCAAGCCTCGCCATAACTCAACAGTCAATTTCACGGGATTCGACGAAAATAATTACACTGCGGGATTTCGGATGATTACTGGTTATTTTACGACGAATAATTGTCAAGTTGGCGTGTCCATGGCCTTGAAGGTGTTGTTGTTAGTGGCCGCTAACAGACAAACGCACACGTCATGGATGGCTGATGTACTTGGTGAGACTGGCGGGGAATCATGCTATACCCGGCTTCCAGCCTTTGTTTCTAAGATTAGTTAATCAAAGACTCGTTACTGTATCATCATGGAGTGTCCTCGACCACTATAGGTCATCTGGGGTCACGGGGGCTGGTGACATCATGGCTACATCTAAGTAGCCAAAGTCGGCCTTTCTTGATGACCTGTAATCCGCAGCCTGTTTTCCCGAGTGATCCAAACGTCACTAAAATGTTGTACTAAATTGGCCGAACCTAGCCAACCTAAGGACCCACCAACATAAAATGACCTAATGTCAATTTTGGGAGCCGCTACCATTTTTTTAATATACTACGTTTTGACCTTACGAAAATTATACGTCAAAATGCGTTGTACTATTCAGGAGAATGGGTTGAATCTCATTGTTTTGCTCGAGGCCATTTTGCACAGCTTGTAGTTACCCAGATTATGGCATCTGTCTGATGCTTGATTCTATATGAAATGTTCTACGCCCCTCTCCCCTCCCTTACCTCTAAAATGACTAAACCTAACATGGCCCTTGTAGTACCTAAATGCATATGGGTGTTTATATTAATTGAATATAAGCACCCATTTCCTCACATGCAGCCCTATATGACCTCTGTCCATCCATTACAAGAGCTAGATAAAACTAAAACCCAAATAGGGTAATTTACACTATTTCCTGCTCAAGCTAGATCATTACCCCCCTGAGATATTAAATATCGTACCCTACACAGCCTTACCTAACCTGACTTAGTACAACCAAAGCTAGGTTGTTGGCTTTTTATTAATTAAAGTTGACAAAATTTAAGCTGCCCCACTTAAATTTTACATAATTTAAGGATTTTTCCACCTAATTTACCCAAAATTTACCGAAATTTAGGTAATTTAATACAATTTTCATCAAATTTACCCACATTTACCATATCATAGCACAGCCAAGGCCCAATACACTTCAAGTTTCACATATTCGATATAAATTTATATCCAATATCCAGTAACCGCTTTACATACCCCATTCCCAAGACTACCTCAACCACATCCTCACAAACAACTCAATGTAGCCCCTCTCTATCCGTTACAAATGCTAGAACTCTAACCTAAATAGGGAAATTTGCACTATTTTATGAACAAACTAGTTCATTACCCCTAAGATATTATATATCCTTCCTTACACAGCCCTACCTAAACTGACCTAGCACATTCAAAGCTAGATATTATTATAGTTGGCAAAATTTAAGCTGTCCCACCTAATTTTACCTAATTTAAGACAATTTCCACAAAATTCACCTGAATTTACACAATTTACTACAATGTCAACCAAATTTATCCAAATGTACCATATCGTAGCTCAACCTAAGCCAAATTTATCCCAGTTCGACCTATTCCATCTAAATTTAAGGTATATTTCCAATATCCAACATCCAGTCTTGGCATATCATACCCCATTCCCAAGATGACAGCACCCACATCCTCACATACAACACTATGTAGCCTCTTTCCATCCATTACAAATGCTAGGTAAAACTCTAACCTAAATAGGGTAATTAACTCTATTTTCTGAACAAGCTAGTCCACTACCCTTAAGATATTATATATCCTACCATCCACAACCTTACCTAACCTGACCTAGCACACCCAAAGCTAGATTTGATTAAAATTTGCAAAATTTATGCTGTCCCACCTAAATTTAACCTAATTTAAGATAATTTCCACCAAATTTACCCTAATTTTTTTAATCATAGCACAGTCAAAACCCATTTTACTCAAGTTTCACCTATTCCATCTAAATTTAATGTATATTTCCATTACCAAACATCCAGTCTTGCCACAACATACCCAACATACCTTTACTTATATTCCAGGATTTGAATTCCATTTTATATCATATTGTTGTTTTTTCAGACAGGGATATAATTCACTAAATTTGTATAATTATCATACCCCAATTTTCCTTAACCTTACCAATAACAAGGGGGTATAGACCTCCCTTATCTTCCTAAATACTATTTAGGATTAATTAGGGGTAATTAGATATATGTACAAATATATTCCTACCGTGAATATATAGTATAATTTTGGGGTAAGGGGGGCTCTATACACCCTTGTTATGGATTAGGTTAAGGAAAATTTGGTTATGATAATTGTATAGATATAGGGAATCATATCCTTTTCTGAAAAAAATATGATGTAAAATGAAGTTCAGATCCAGGTATATAAGGATAGGTTAAGGTTAGGGTGGGATTGGTTGGCTGTATTGATATAAAAACCAAAACAAATATGACTAAGAATAAGATGCAACATTGGACCAAGATCCTCGTATCAGAGGTTAGGTCCAGGCCAGTTGGGTTGATGCACAAAACAACACTTTATCAAAAATACGATTTATTCGAAGTCAGATAAAAGGAGGTTAGGTGCAGAGTGGCTGAGTTGATGTATAAAAACAAACACTTTCCTACCCAATAAAGCTACACTATTGAACATAAGTCCAAGCTTGTTAGGCGAGGGGCAGGTAGGTTCATATAAAAAAACATAACTTTTCTAAGAATAGATTTAATATTCAACAAAGATCAGAGCAGGTACGGTTAGGTATTGGTAATTTAGGTTTATACTCAAACAATACCTTTTCTCCTAATTATGAAGTTGAAATATGCAACTTCCTGCTATGCAAGGCCTAAAAATATATATATAAAATATAAAATATATATAAATATATATATATATATATATATATATATATATATATATATATATATATATATATATATATATATATATATATATATATGTATGTATATATATAATACACACACAGTTTATTTAATAAATTTATTTGGTTTATTTAGATTTATTTAGGATATAGTTTATTTAGGTAAACAAACAATGGGGTTCAGTTCTGAACTGATTATGTACCACTGCCTTTCCACCACCACCACCCATGGGATGGGTAGAGGGTGCATAATAAGAAATAAAGTGACAACAGGAGGACGGGCTGGCGTGTGTGTGTGTGGGAACGAACCTACATGTACTCTTCTAAATGTGCTGTCATGCTCCAATATCTCCTTTTAAGCCTCTTTTCCAACATTAGTAGTTGCTCACTACAATTTTCATTTTTACTTTTAAAATTTGAAATGAGTTACTTTTGAAAACTTCTTAGCCTTTCTTACATTTGTAACTAATTGGTGTCTATAATTTCTGTTTATCTGTAAATGGTTCTCTAATTGAACGCTGTCTCTCTGGCAACTAGGTAAAGTTCCCCCATAAGTATGTAATTATCTTGCCTTCCCTGTTCATTCTCAACCACTTGAACTGGACGGTAGAACGATGATCTCGCTTTCCGCAGGTCGGCGTTCAATCCCCAACAGTCCAAGTGGTTTGGCCCAATTCCTTCCTTTATATCCCATATCCTGATTCTCATCCCTTCCAAGTGCTATAGATAATTTGAAATATAACAAGTGTTGGATAAGCTGCTAACATTTAAACAAACAGACTTATTGCCTCTTGTAAGTCACAAACATGTATTAGGAACAGGATGGTCTTAAGTATCGACCCGGCCTTGTAGTACTCGGCTCATTAACTATCACCACTCTCTCACCTTTTCCTCCTTCCTCTCTCCAGAGAGGTACTCCCCTCTCCAGCTTGGTGGCATGTTCACCAATCTGTTGATGAAACAGTGTACCAACTGTGAAGACGTCAGCATCTGAGCGTCGCCGAAAGGCAGAACAGGCAGCGGTTACAAGCTTACGGGCCCAGAGAGATGATCAGAGCGTGCAACAAGAGCGTGTTGTCTAAGGCAAATGTAAACAGCCGGCCGCCTGGCCCGGCCCACACGCCCACGTTCCCTTGCCGGCTGGTGGAATAAAGCCTCGTCGTTCATCACTGTCAAGAAAGGCATGTGAGAACATCGGGTGCGTGAATAAAGGTGTCGGAGCTGTTCGTAGCAAAATATTAACCACCTTTCATCTGCCATGATGAATAGAGCGACTGAACTTGACACGAATGTGACATACCACCACCTAAGCTGTAGGTGTGAGGAGCGCGGTGATTGGCAGTGGTGTGAGAGCGGTAACTGGTAATATATATAAATATATATATATATATATATATATATATATATATATATATATATATATATATATATATATATATATATATATATACATATATATATATGTCGTATATGTGCTCCTGGCAGTATCGAGTCACTTCTGGGTGTGAGTTTTCAGTTGCATATAGTCCTGGGGACCATTCAGGCTTGTTCGCATATATATATATATATATATATATATATATATATATATATATATATATATATATATGCGAATAATATATATATATTATATATAT